TGAAACGACTGTAAAACCAAGTGCAAACAATTGTTAAACAAAAGGGTGCAATAGATAAGAAAAAGAAAAAAATTAAATTAAAATGATTCTTAAATTATATAGATAATTTATTTATTTTTTATGTACTTTTTTGTGATATAAATATGAAAAATATGAAAGAGGAAATGGATATTTCAAAGCAATAATGATAGTAAGAGTTGTAAGGGTACTGTCAAAATCAAGTACTACTGGCGTAAGTATTTTAACTCTGCCTTAAAAGAAATATGTGTAAACCAAACTGTCTACGAACGTGCTATTAGTACCAAAAATGCTCATTAATATCCTCAACAAGCACAAAAACAACTACTTCAATATATGTCTAAATATCCTTTCTCAATTTATATGTCGCACCATATTCATTGCCAGCAAAATAACTTTCATCGCCGTCCGTATGCCAGGATACAACTTCAACAAAATCTGCTACAAACGAGGGTATCAAGCATTTTACAACCGCCGAATTACCACGTATCACATGCTCCTTGTTTACATCAGCTTCATAGTATTGGGCGACAACTGAAATTTTCAGTAAAATCGATGAAATATTGTATATTCAAACCCTAACAAGTTTACACGGAACAAAAGAATATATTTTTGGTTAAAAAGTTTGCAACACATTATGTATATTTTAAATTTGGTTTAAATTCACACCTAAATAAATAATATATAAATAAATAATATAATACATTATATGAAATATAATATAAATAATAAATAACAATGTTTTTTTTACCTAAATACATAATATATTTATAAATAAGTATTAATAAAATATATAATTCATATTACATATATATAAAAACACCCTAACATGACTTTTTTACTCATTTAATATTATCGGAACTATGCGAGTTCTATTAAAGATCGAATATTTAACTCAGTAAATTCTCTACTTTGATTTAACTAATATTGCCACAATTTGCATGGTAGTGTCTTATTAATAGACCTATTTTATTTTTTTTGGTATTTTACATTTTATGTAAGTTAGACAAAATTATGAGTTTCTATCTTTTACTTAAGTACCTATATATAATTGTAAAAAATTATTATATGTATCTTAAACATCTAGATTTTCGTTTGTATAAGAAAAATAATTACATGAATTTACAAAGTCAGATTTATATGACGGTTTTTTGCTGAAACATATCATAAAACGAGATGTCGATATAATCAATATTTGTCTGCTTTTAATTTTCAGTCACAGAAATATCGCACACATTTCTGAAGCAATTAAGCTAACCAGACTGAGACATAATGAAAATATTTCATGATATCCAGATATCTGTATGAAAGTTGGCCACTATTATAGAAGTAAAAATTTAACAATCTCATTAAAATACCTCATGAAGATATTAGATATTCTAAAGAGTTTTAGAAAATTGAACTCTGTAAGTGTTCTAGAGACTCATGCTCAAGTACAATTCCGGTATTTAAAGAAGTGGTCCTAAACTCTTTGAGTATTTGGTAATGCAATGGGCTTATATGGCGAAGTAGATTTTTAGAATTGCCGTCATTACCTTTTACGTATCCTAAAAAGATAAATGTAATGAAAATATATTGTTTTTAAGAAAAACAACATTAATATTCTTAAAATTTTATTTTAAATAAATTATATTTGCTTTATTAACCATGCTAGGATACATTAATCTATTCATAATAAAGCCGCTAAAAATAATATAAGATTAAATCATTTCATTAAATTACTTTAATTAAAAAGCAGACAATTGCGTTAATATACTAAACTTTTAATTACATTAAAAAATATTTGCCTAAACGCTAAGATAATTAAATTTCAGTCTAAAAAATTAGCATTCATCTGCACGTAACTCCGTCGTAACCGGTCGCAGTAGACACCTTAACAAGAAAGGCAAGAGTGACAGTGAACTCGCCTAACTACCTCATTGTCATTTATGAGAAATAAAAGTTAATATCAATTAATCACATTTTAAGCAAAAAAGCTACTTACTCCACCTGAAAGAATCAAGGTGTAACCAACCAAAAAATTACCGAAAACTCCACAGCGCGCAATGTCTTTCGGTGGATGGGGCCGCTTTTAATTTCTGTTAGAATTTTTCCACATTTTTGGCGTTTTCCCATATTTACATAATTTTATGTTTTTTCATTTAGTTTTTTTATGCTCTTGCTTTATTTTAAGCATAATTTAATGATAATAAATTTAGTTAAACATCGTGTCACCAAAATTTAGTAGAAATTAGCTGAAAGCAAGGCAACTCGGTTTTTGTAGCAAATACTTCAGTGATAGATACGTACACTACGAAATAGTGACTTATCACGTCAACTGTGTCTGAAAATTGTTTTCATATCTGTTTTTTCTGTTCAGTTAATGGGTGAGGAAGGTACTTAACTTCAGATACGCAAGCATAAGCACAGATAGTAAGAAGTAAGCTTGGGTGAAACTATGAAACTATGCTAAGTGTGGGAAGTGAAGCCTTTTATGAGTGTTATTTAATTATATAAAAATTTTGTTAATTTTTGCAATTTAACGCAACTTAAACAAGCGGAAATAAAATTCTTCGTGGTAGCAAAAAAGTATTTAAAATTAATATAATTAAATTATGCTTGCACTTGGTAGATTGTGTACTCAGTAATGAAAGGCATTTTTGAATACAGACTGTTTAAGTAGTCTATTGGTATTTTATTTGATTAAGGCTGAGGTCTTATAAAAATGAGATTAAATACATTCGATTGAATTTATATGCATACTTTAGTAAAAAACATAATTTTGTCTTATAGATATTATCAAGCCAGGCGTAGTGAATACCAACGAATTTTATCTACATACACGAGTAGAACCGACTCTACTATTCAAAAGCTACAAGTTGCTCAAAGTCAGGCTCTCCGAAGACTCTTCAAAGTGCCTTGGTACATCCGCACAAACGACATGCTAAGAGACCTTATAATAGACCCTATGAAAAAATACATAAGGGACAGAGCTCTGTAGTTATATACGAAAACTGACGGGCTATCCTACTTACCACTATCTAATCTTAGAGTAATCACTCTCCGTACGGGGAGGTACGCAGATCTTAGATCAATCACTGAATAATCATGAAGCTTATAGGGAGTACATAAATTAGTCAATGAGATGAGTGGGACCCTGTAGTACCCCCAGCTATCAAAGAGTAAAAGTGCCCAGTTGCGCTGCCTCGAAAAAAGGGTCAACATACATACATACATACGAGCATGCAACGCATGCAGAAAGGTAAAGTAAATATTTTAGTGATCAATTAACCATATTGATTTTTTATAAAATATACATATATTAGGATCCTCATATTCTAAGGATGCTCATTTTGAAGACATTTGCTAGCAATTAAGAATGGTGAATATAGAACACTGGACAACTGTTTTAGTGCTGATATAATGATATCTAATTTAATATTTCACAGATCAGGTTTTATTTTAAACAGTTTTTAAAATTAATGAATATCAGTAAACTCTGTTTAGTGAATGATTAAAACAAATTGATTTAGTGACAGATAGGCACTTGAATACTGTAAGGTCAGGACTATAAGCCTTGAGTTATTAGAGTTTATATGGAGGACGTATGCATATAAGTCAGTTTGTGAAAATGAAAAGTGGAGAAGTAGAAGTATCGTAAAAGTAACCTATACGAAGAGAATTTCGGTTAGGCATGCATTTTATTTTTGCTTTTATAAAAGTTAAACACTTATGTGGGATAACTTGACTTATGTTAGATATGTACACTCAATATATACTCATTAATAAACTAAAGAGCAGTTGACTAGATAAAGTTGGTAAAAATACTTCAACTAGTTGGTAAACATACTTCAACAACTATCAAATACTGGGGTTGACAACAATGAACAGAGGTGGCAAAATAGAGTAAAATAGAGAATCAAATATTGATTTTATTTGTATCGCCATGAAAATTAAAATAGGGGATATAATTATTTTAGATTGATAAACTATTGCAACTGTTGCAAAAATACAAACTCCTTTAATAAATAAATTAAAATAATAAAATATGAAAAATAAAATATGAAAAATAATATATAATTATTTGTATAATTATATGTGTATAAAAATATGTGAAAATAAATATATAAATTCATATAATAAAAACTGCAGAAATAAAACAATACCACAAAAAAGAAAGTATGTATTTTTGTTTTAGTCTTATTAAATGTATAAATCGAAAAATTTTATTAAAAATAATTAAATTACCAAACAGATGAAAATTATAATAGTTTTTAGACATAAACAGTTTAATAATTAAAAATACCAAACAAAAATAATCAAAATCGAATGTTATAGTTGTGATTAATTTGTCTTATTATAATAGAATTGATATAGACATATTATATTATTTATTTTCTGGTTTGAAACTAAACCAATTATAATGATAACTAACATAGGCTTTAATTAAGTTTGAATGCAGATGTGCCTACTACTAATCTAATTTACTTTCTAATAGCCTTTAACACAACTCATTATATCATAACTTTCTAAAAAAAATATCAGATTTAATTAAATTTATACTATATGTGAACTTTATTTCGTCATATTTAACCGCAAAATAGAGGTGTCAATTACAACATATTTAATGTACAATTTAGATTTAATTACTTTGTAAACTTCGTAAAAAAGTATTAGATTCGAATATGCAATCCGCAGCAAATATCTACAGCAGCCAGTGTTGAAGTTGTGAAAGATACATTGTGTGAACTTTGCTAATATGAATACTAGAAAAAAGTTAAAATTATTTAATTACACAATGTAATGTGTTTGCTTACACAAATTAGTTAGCATCATTTTGCACAACTATTTTAAAATTGAGCTAAAGTAAATAAATATACTAATTTACAAATAAAAATAAATCTATAGAATTATGTAAAGAAAATATGCAAAAAATAATAGATTTAAAACGAACAGCACGGAAGATTTTTTTATTAAATTAATTTTGTAAATAAATTGTTGATTAAATAGATTCGTATTTTTTTTAGTGATTGAGTTTGGAATACGCTGTATGCTTATTTTCTAGCGAGTTTTTTTAATTACCACTGATTATTAATATTAATAATAAATATATTAATTTAATATGTATTAATAATACTAAATATATGTACACCCATGTTGTAATATAAAATATAAATTCAATACAGGTATTTAATATATTTCTTACTTAAAATATACCAATTATTCGTAATCTCTCCTAGTATGTAATGCAGATTCTTAAAAATAAAAATGATTGTTTATTTATCTGACATTCGGAAATAAAAAAAATAAGTTTTTAAATAATAAATACATTAATGTGTGCAAAATTTCAGACCAAAATGTATTTGGTAAAATAGATTTTAATTTTAAAACTATTAAAAAATCGACTAATGTAGTTGAAGATAGATATCAGAAAAAGTTAAATCCAACGAAGTAATCCCAAACTTTTAAAAATAAAAACTCTGTGTGACCTAAAACCAAAACCAAACAATCAAAGTACAATAATCTTCCGCAGCAACCAGGACAATCGAAACGTTAATATCTGCAGCTGAAATGTTTGTAAAATTTGTTCAATTAAAAGAAAAAGGATTTTTACAGAAATGTTAAGTTAAGCTGTGAAATTACAGAGATATACTTGCAATTTGTTTGGAACACAAAATTTATTTGATACGTTTTGTTACCAAAAACTTTACTGCACTTCTTATTTTGATTTATTTTACTTAATTTTTTTCTTTTTTTTTTTTTTGTTGTAAAAGCACTATTTATATCCTTTTTCTTTCAATTGAATAATAGATCAAGTTCGTGGTCTCTCTAGAACCTAACAACTTACCAGCTCGTACATGTACATCACGCGATATAATTGATCCAAATTGATTACGTGCCAAACAGGCATATACTTGAGCATGCACTTCTTGTCGGTAGTCTTCAGCACGGAAAGGTGGAAATACTAGTTTACCATCTGATGAAATTTGACGCAAACCTGGTACATCACCTACTGCAGTGCCATCACTACGTATCCAAATAATCTCAGGCATTGGATTCCCGCTAGCTTTACATTCAATTTCAGCACCTGTTGAGTTCGAAAAATCTATACGATTGGTTGGTTCTTTAAGAAATACAGGTCCTTTTTGATCAGCATCGGGAGGGTTGACAGCAGCAGTCAATGGGGTCGTAACTGTAAAAAAAAAAATTTGATTATTCAACTGTTGATTTAAATGATTTTCATTTATTATAAATAATATATATTTGTGTTATACCAGATATACCAGAATTATATATAAATACTATATGTACTTATTATTTATAAATAATATTTCATTATGAAGTTAGACTCTGTTTTGGAAAATACAAGTACTTCTTTAATCTTATGCTCAACTTAAAGACCTCAAATGCTCAACAAAAGATAATAAGATAAGATAAGTATAATAGGTATAAGATATAATAGATAATAAGATATATATATCTTTTTAATTGTTACAAAATTTTTGAACTAATACTACATGTATATAAGTGAGTTATTTATATAAATTAATGTGCTTTAATTACCGAAACATATACTCAAATTAGTTTATGTCGAACGGATATGTCAAAGTATTGTTACTCAAATATGGAATAATGTTATACTTAATTGCTATTAATTAAGAAAAAGATTTTTAGATACTCTGCACTTGACAAAACATATATATATAATATCTAGAAGAATAAATCCTACACTGTACTTGTACCTAAATATACAGAATCAAAAGGTAAGCTAATCCATAGCAGATGTCCCAATACATTTTGAACTAATGCATAATACTTGACTATTGCTATTTCAGTACTCAACTTAGCATTAATAATATAATAACTTCAGAGTGCAAGTAATTAGTATTCTCTATATTTCTATAAGAAGTGAAAATATACGCTTAAAGTTTTGTTGTAGCTATTCTTATCTGATATCTCGTATATGAGATATCATTTAATATAACAGACTTTAATAACTAGATTTGATTTTAATGTAATAATATGCAAGAGTTATCTTCCCAGCCTTTTATAATGATATTAAATTACTATTAATATTAGAAAATATATTAGAAATATAGAAACTAATGAAATCAAAACTCTTTTCATAACTCTTTCATAGTGGAATGATGGGAAAGTTTGATGGAAAACTAATCATTAATTAGTATTTTAACACAATCGTTACTCTTTCGTTCACTTAAAGTTAAATAAGTAAAATTAAATTATTCAACAGATTGATTCGTTTGTTGTTTCATCATTCATGCTCATTGCATGAACATTGCTAAACAAATTAGATACAAATTTCAATGAAATAAAGACAAAGCGAATTTATGACAATAAAAATTTTTGTAAAAGTACAATAAAGAAATATAAAATATAGTTTTTTACTACAACTTTTTTTTTAAACCCACAGAACGGAAGTGTTGACTTTAACCGGCAAAGTCAATCGTCATCAGTTTATCATGAGAATACCAACAGCAGCGTCTGACAACAGAAACAACAAATGACTGCCATGGATCAGTGACTTGCAGTGGCTCCACAGTTCATATTATGGTCTTACATGGTTTGGTATGTCACCAAGCGCACAATGAAATTGCATTTATGCACAACAGAAGTAAACCTCCCACTAGTTCCCTGCAGCCCAGGAACGGTATAATAAAGTTTAAACAAAAAAGTAAAGAAAAACGTGTCGATGACACTTTGGTGTCTGTGTTGCCAACACTTTAGAATTTAATTTCATGCATGCCATGAATGTTATACGTAGTCAAAAAACAAAGAAAAAAAAACAAATTAAAAAGATTCAAAAGAATAAAAGTAAAGTAAGTCCGTTTTATAAGCGTATAAGGCACGTTACTCTGTGTTTGCTTAGATACAATTTTATTTGGCCTGAAGCTGTTGACATCTTTGGATACGGATGAGTGATATAGTTCTAGTATTTTATAGTTGGCTGTATGCGAATACATAAGGAACAACAGCATATTTTCAAAAATAATTTAATTTCGTTGTTCTTCTTAAGTATCCAAATTTTAAAAAAATTTAAAAAAAACCGTACCTTGGATGTCATGCTATACTTATCTTTCTATTCAATGTTGATTTAAAAAACCGTATAATTTACAATATTTATTCTAAATTCTATTCTAGATGTTCTATATAAATTGGGTTTGAATTTAAAATAAATCCGTTATTGTAGCTAACGTAACAATGCACGGAAATTAACACAGTTTTCATGCTTAATCCCAGTTATAGAGTCTACAAAAAATCTGTGCAATAGTTCCACCTCTCTTCAATAACATCTTTTTTCCTTAATTTAGTTCAAGCATACTATATATGATTTAAATGAGCCCAATTTTTTAATTAATAGGTCTCTTCATCCCTAACCCCTGATAACTGAACTGAAATTCTTAGCACCATGACCTTCATGCACAATGGCAGTAATCTTCATTTTTGATTTCTAAGAGGTTGGTTTAGTGGCTTTTTAGGGTTTCCACATATAGGGGAAGAAATGTGAAAATTTTGTAGTGTTTTTTTTTAGAATTTCATATCAATTTTTCGTGCGAAATAGATGTTAGTACAAGATTTTAGAACAAGTACTAGTGATTATGTAAAAAATCTAGAGTACTTAAAAGTGAATAAACGAGTTAATAAATGTTCATGTGATTTACAAGCTGAGTGACTTGTTTGTAACTTCTAATCTACACGAGTACTGTTTTTAGTATATATCACATTTGCTGTCTTAATTTGGGACCACAGTTCCAGTAATACATATCAAATAGATCTATCATCCAAACAATTAATATGGTCAGTTTAAGGTATGCCACTTCACAATATGATTCATTCAAGAACCTTTGAACGTGCTGTGCTGGTGATCGATCAACAGCATCAAAACAGCGATTTTTTCAATGGACGCATATCTACGCTTAATGCATATCTTGACAAATAAAATGGTCGTATCGGAGACAGTGAAAATTTTGTCACTAACATCATAATGGTAATAACTGTTTGGTTTATGAATTGTAGTAGGCGTCTTACTTATGTTTCAGTATATAAAATAAATATTACACAAATTCATTTAAGTCTTCAATATTTAATTAATTAACTTTTTTCAAAATGACTCTTCTTTTAGAGTGTAACAAACAATATGATAAATTTAATGTACTCCTTTCTGACTACGGATAAACGATATGACAACCCTCCGAACCCTCTCTCATCATGATACATACTATACGTATATTTTGACAAACTTCTTCTGACTATGTGTATTTTTTTCCTATGTGCATTTCAAGTAAATAAAATTGTAAATACTTTTATATACATATATAGATTTTTAAGAGCATGAGACCAAAGCGTTGATATTTTTATGACATTATTTCCAGATGAGTTTGAAATTCGCTTGTGCATGCTAAAAATATTTATCCTTCAACTCTCGGGAACAACACTGTTGAAAAGTCATTCTGAAAAATATTAATTCTACAATTGCAATCATTCGACGATGCTTGTAATTAAGTCCACTGAGCTCCACTTTAAAAATACAACACATTAACCACTTAAAAATGTGTGTATTTCGTTTTTAATTCACTTTAAATAAGCAGAACGTGCGACAGCATTAAATGTTGTTTTAGATACATTTCAA